CTATATCTAGTTTCATAAAAATGCAGCCCTGCTCCAAGGGTGGGAGCGGGCGCTGCATGACAGGGACTGGATAGGGGTTTGCCTGGAGGCCAAGGTTGACCGTCGACTTGTAGTTGGCGCAGATCCTGATGGACCCGTCGGCCTTCACGGGGATCACTATGGGGGTCTCCCAGCATGAATGGTCAACAGGCTCCAGGACGCCCTGCGCCAACAGCTTATCGAGTTTGGCGTCAACCTTAGGCCTCAAGGCAAAAGGCACCCTGCGGGCCTTCAGCCGAATGGGGGCAACCTGGGGGTCCAAGTTGAGGGAGATAGGGGTGCCCTTATACTGCCCAAGTTCCCCATTGAAAATGTCAGCGTAGTCCTGAAGGACAGCCGCGACGTCAGGGGGCGTGTCCGCCACAGCATGCACCCCTGTCAGGGATAAGCCCAGAGGGGTGAACCAGTCAAGGCCTAAAATAGAGGGGAGGGGCTTTTGAACGACTAGGACCTGGAGAACTGAACAGTTATCCCCGTACTGCACCCACACCCCATAGCAGCCCAGGGTCAGAATGTTAGTCCCCTGGTAGTCCCTTAGCAAGGTGTCCGAGGGAGACAGCTGCGACTTTGAGACTCGCGGGCACAGTCTGGTGAAGGTGGCCCAGGAGAGGAGTGACCAGGAGGAGCCCGAGTTGACCTCCATTAGGTAGGGGGACCCCTCAATAGAAACGGTGACTGTGATCTTCTGCGTACCAGCCGAAGCGAGGTTGACCAACACTGCAGGGGTGGCAGGGACATCGTCCGCCAGGGCATAGCAGTCGTCACGGCGGGCTTGCTGGCATCTGGCCGGTTGGTTCTTGGGTGGCGCAGGGGGACCGTAGACTGGAGGCTGGTCGGCTTGAGCCAGAGGTGGCAAGTTGGCCGGCAGACCTGCGCCAGGTGGCCTTTCTTGCCGCAGTGGCGGCAGACAGCAATCTTGAAAGGGCAGGCTGCCCAGGCATGATTGCCTCCGCAGCCGAGACAGGCGGCGGCCTCAGCTGAAGCACGAGCAGGAGGAGGCTGAGACCGCCTAGGAATGGCCCTCAGTCGATCGACTTGGGCCTCATAGAACTGGTCCGGTAGGGGAACCAGTTCATCGATGAGATTGGTAGCGTGTGGAGAAGGCGGCGGAGGCAGGGAGGCTGGAGCTGGTAGGGCAGGCAACGAAAGCAAGGCGGTTGCGGGCGGCAGGTAGCGGGCCATCTCCACGGTTGACAGCTCCGCGAGCTCTGCGGCCCTCGCCTCGTCAATGGCAAAAGTTAGTGTGATGTTGGTTTTGCTGAGGAGACGCCGTCTGAGGAAAAGGTCCTTAAGGCCACAGACGAACTGCTCAGTCAAATTGTCCTCCAGGTCGGGGAAATCGCATTGAGCAGCAGCGACCCGTAACACCTGGAGGAACTGATTTACTGAGTCAGTCGTCTTCTGAACACACCGGCAAAATGCGAACCGGCACATAATTTTGGATGGTGTTGGGGCATAATGGGCTTGGAGCCCCTCCATCAGTTCGTCCCATGTCAGGTCATAGACAGTCTGCGGGGCCGCGAAGGATCGTGCCATCGCAAACATTTCGGGTCCACAGGCGGTCAG